AGAGGGGATGGGTTTTGAAGCAGGAGCCTGCCATCCCCCCAGATAGTATAGCTTTTGAAGAAAAGACCCCTTCCCTTTTTTCACCAGACCACTGCCTCCAAAGTTTGCCTATCCACTGACAGCCGAACACAACTTACACTTAGTAACAAATTCAGAAGCTTACTTGGGAGATCAGAGGGACTAGTCAGCCAAAAAGAATCAGCTAAAACCATCCCTGGTAGCCATGCAGGCTATGCTACACCCTCGAAGAAATGACTGCACACTGCAGGGAAAACAGGTTTCACACAACTACTCCAGACAGTTCACTAACCTTATAAGAAAAGTAAACAGCAACCAATGCCAGGAAGTCGGGAATGAATCAGTATCCGGACTTAATACACGATACTGTATTAACAGGAAGACCTCTGCTCCACTAGATTTGACGATTTTTAGCCTCTGTCTATAAAGTATGGCTGCCAACATTTGTTTTCTTTGTCATCTGTTTAAAATCTGATCAAAAATTACTTAGTACTCTGATAATACCTTATTTTACAACATGCACCTGGATGAGGAAGAAGTTATTGAGATAAAAAGAAGTGCAATAGGAAATTACAGACTGGGTAATTAAGATCACTACAGGTCTTTAAGAAGGGTTTAACAGTTGTGTTGAAGGGGGCATCATTGTATAGTAAAGTGGCCAGCTTTACATAAGAAATGCAAGAAGTTTATTCTACAAGCAAAGTAAAAGGAAACTTCTTTCAGTTTCTATTGCACTAATCATCAAAAAAAAGTTATTATCAATTATCATTTCTGTTTTCCACTAACCCTTTCTCTTTTTAAAAGTAAATTCTGGCACTAAGTCCAAAGTTTATGCTAATGAATAATCATGTCAGTTGTCACTCAATTATCACTTTCAACATTTAATCTAAATTATGTACAGCACCTTGGGTTTTTTTTTCCTTTGAAGTTCTTCCTTGAATTTAAAAGTCAAATTTTTTTTTCAAGAAGAGTAAATTGATGGAAGATGGAGACTGAGATTAAATCAGGGGGAATCATTGATCAAGGATGCTTGAAATTCTTATGAATACAAATAGCCTATCAAGGTTAATGAGGTTCAACTCAGGTTTATAAGAAGAAAAAAAATGCACTTAGTATTTTCTATGCATATACAAATTTACAATCTTAGATGGAATTTGAAAGGTAAATTATGCAAACTCAAATGTAGCTCTCATTTTGGGTTTTTTACAAGCTATTTTCACTGTGTTTCCCCCAGTGTAAAATAACTGCTTAAGATATATATTCTGGATCAACAAAAAAACCAATGCAATTAGTGAAGCAGGAAAGGTCCCCATGAATACTGACAACATTCTCAGAAATTAATGTGCCATTAAGGAACAAATAGACAACAATGTTAACCTTAAAATATAACCATAAAAATGTTCTATAGCCCTGGCTGGTTTGGCTAGGGTAGATGGAACATTAGCCCATAACCAACAGGTTGCCAGTTCGATTCCCAGTCCGGGCACATGCCTGGGCTTCGACTTTGATCCCTGATATGGAAGGGGGCCAGCTGATGTCTGTCTGTCTGTCTGTCTGTCTGTCTCTCTCCCCCTTTCCCTGTCTTTCAAATAAAAATTAAATAAACCTTTTTGAAAAAGTTCTACGAAATTTTATTTCAGTCCACAAACATGAATTCAGTGCCTAATACAGATAAGACATTGAAGGGGTTACAGAGGTAAGACAGGTTCTTAACCCACACTCGTCTACGATCTGAAAAGAGAAATATCTTTAATTCAAGCGGCTCCCGAATGCCACGAGTTTGAACTGTAAAGCCAACAGCACGCTGGTAAAAGGCTCAGAGCAAAATCGGTGCACAGCAACATTATGAAAAGAAAGTGTAAATATAAAATGTCAGAGTGAAAGACTGTTAGAAAGATGAAAGAGAGAGAGAGTGTGTGTGAGGGAAAGAGAAAGGATGGCAGGAAGGAAAGAAGGAAGGAAGGAAGGAAGGAAGGAAGGAAGGAAGGAAGGGAGGGAGGGAGGGAGGGAGGGAGGGAGGGAGGGAGGGAGGGAGGGAGGGAGGGAGGGAGGGAGGCAGGCAGGCAGGCAGCCAAGTCAACACATTCCAGAGATAAAGACATCATCTGGTGAAGGATTTCTGTTGACAAGAACTCTGTTACAGAGAGACAGAGGGCAGGGAAGCCTTGCCACAACTATGAGCAAACAATCCATTAGACATCATTGTTCTCCGACTCTGTGTTCCGCAGTGGCTTTCCAAAACCTAGGCATACAAAATTGGAAGACCAGCGCTTTGCTTAGGAGAATAGCGTTTAATATCTGTATAGGTCTCCTGCTGGGTCAAGATGAACTGACACTCTTATCTCTTAACCTCTTGTCTGTTCATTGTTAATATGAACCAGACTCCTAGATCATCTTAATTCTAGGTCATGGAAAAACTCAAGTTTCCAGATCGAGGACAAGACTTTGACACACAATGTCTGCACTAAGGTAAGGATGTCAAAGCTGGATTTGTCGTGATGACAGGACAGCTTTCTTCTGCGGCCCCTTTCTCCTTTATTTCAACCCACTGTGAAATCCCAAAGAAATATACTCAGATTACTTTACGACAGCATGAGAAAAGTGCCATAAGAACATAGTGATGTGGGCAAAGGATGGCTCAAAAGGAAGGATTGTAACTTGCAACAGATAGAATCCCAGAAGGCTTTGGGAAGAATAAGGTTTAGGATTTGCTCAAACAAAAGACATTACAGAAACGGTGGACAACTGGGACAAAGGAAGAACAGATGGGATTTTGGAATTTTAAGAAAAAAATAAGTTAATGACACTATGTATGACATTCAGCAGAAGTGGTAGAAAGTCAAGGAGAAAGACAATAATCAAACAAATAATAAGAAATGTGACCATATACATGTTAAGGGGCCTGAACAATAATCTCATTTTGTGCATCTTTTCTTATTTATAGTTGATCTCTAAAAAAAAAAACTACAAAAGGTTAATTTCCATTTTTTATCAAATGTATAAGGCAATACTACATAATACCTAAAACCTTCTAAAAATTAAGCAGAGGCCAAATGCTTTTCAATTAAATTTCAATAAAATTCCCAACTGTTAGAGGTTAAATTGGGTGACCCACGACTTACATCTCTCACCAAGTCTGCAGTACATTTCACTGTAAGAACAGACTTGAAATAAAGACATGCAGTGGGCCACTACAAGGTATGAAAAATAAATAAGCCATAATCAGAACTGTCACTAAATTTAAAACAACTGATGTAAATTTAATTAAGTTAATTATTATATTTTTAATATAAGAAAATCAGAAAAATAAAACTGGTTAATTGTAATTTCTTCCAGAACGATTGATGTCTTTTTATGATTACCTTTTCCAAGATAACTGGGAGAAAAACATTTCATCATCCAAAAAGAATCTGAATTAGACTTAAGACAAACTCAAAGAATTTTCTGCATCAATTTTAAAATGTCCCCTGCAGAGGGGCAGGGAAATCTGCTGCGTTTTAGTTCATTATTCTGTCACCAGAACCTGGAAGAGTGCCTGGTACGTAACAGACAGTCATTAAGTATTTGATTTGCGAGTAAATGTTCAACCTTTCTCTCCAATTGTCTTTCACATTCAAACCACACAATGAATCCAAACTAACACAAAACAATTCCAACTCTTCCCTAGTGCATGTGACGATGTGACAGAGCTATGAAGTTAGGACAAGAGTTTGAAAAAGCAAGGCTTCTTGAATGAGAGCATTACTAGGTTATTATAAGTAATTTTTTAAATGCCTACATATTTGAGATCTTTTTTCAATTTATTCCACAAGTGATCAATGAAAAAAATGGGAAGAAAAGGAGGCAAGCAGGCAGGGAGGGAGGACAGACCGACATGTCATTATGAACCCTGGCAAAGGGGGTTTCCTACCTTTGATATTTATTAACATAGTTCTTTTAAAAAATACTTTAAAAATAATCATTTTAGCACTTCTGTCGGGAGAATCAAGGACTAAACTAATACCCATGAAGCAAACTTTAAAAGTCCTACAATTAAAACTGCTCTACGGATATTTCCAATGGGTAATTGTTAAACATATAAAGAGCTCTGTAAAGAGTAAGTCAAAATTTAATTATTTTTACAATGTGAATCTTGAACCTAATGTAAAATATATTTTCCATAAATGCATTGTAAAGATGAAAGAGAAACTCGACTAGAGTCACATTAAATGTTTCCTTTGGATTATATAAAGTTAGCTGCACTTAACACCAATTCTCTATGTTTCGTTATAATTGGAGAACTTCTTCAAATGTGGCTACTCACTAGAACACAATGAAACACAATAAAAGCACACTGAGGAGAACCGACGCACACCTATTTCCCAATGTGTCATCTACGTTTGATCTACTTTGCATAATGATAATTGATAGTAAGCCATTTCCTTTTTATGAAGTTCTCTCCTGTGATTTTTAATATTTTCTGGTAATTACCCCATCTGTGCTAGACAAAAGGTGAGCAGAAACGGAAGCTGCCTGGTTGCACTTCATTCATGGCTACATCATTCACAATTATTATGCAACCCTAATGAATAACGGCATCACAACTCTACCTCTATTGCAGAAGAGCTAGACATTTGAGAACTTTCATGTTTCTAAAGAAGTATCAGTAACACGTTTTCACTGCGAGTCCTGCCTGTTTCACCCCCCAAATAAATGATGACTCACTGTTCCTTCAGAAGAATGGTCCTTTCCATCTGTAGGAAGGACTCAATCGCTACTAGGACGAAAATATTTTCAAGTTTAATGATTTCCTAGCTTTGAGGTCAAATGAAAGAGAAATAAATCCATAGAAATTCCCATATATAATCAGTTGTCTACATAATTTAACATTATCAAGCCTAGAGTTCATAAAATATCACAATCTTCACATTAAAATTTCATTAAGCAATTCGATGAAACAAAACTAAAGTCCGTTGAATACGGCTTAAACATGGCAAAGTCACCTCTATTTGTGCTGCCAAGTGTGCTCGCTCCTGGTCTTTTCGCCCCATGCACCGCTTCACTTCCTCTAACTCCGAGGCCATTGCACTGAAGTTCAGCTGCGCCCTCAAATCTGACATCTGCTTCTCCAGATCCTCTTTTTCCCGCTCAATGCCTTCAAAGAGAAAAATGTAAAGCTTGATGGTTGTTCTTTATTCACAGGAGAATGTACTTTCTAATGGTACAAAGCCTTGATGTCTTAATACTCCAGCTAACATAATCCACTTATTAACAACGTCATTCAACAGACTTCATACTTTGCCAGACTATTGTTTCAAATCTCATGCAGTTTTCGACAATCATTTCACTTTGATACCAAAGCAAAATGTTATCTGATTTCTAGTACAATTTATTTAAAAAACTCCTACATTTTTTTCCTTTAACTTTCCTTACATCCCTACCTTACCTTCAAAGACTAACAAAAACACTAAAAGAATTTTCAACTAAGCTACTCCCAACAGGTCACTGTGAAGTTCACACAACAAAATGCTCCTCTTGCAACATAAACACACGATGCTATTAAATCTCTGATGGTGCATGACCACAAACTTACTAATTCTGGAGACTACAAATCTGGAAATTATATCTATGAACAAAAAAATGAGTTAGTATTTAACTTAACCTAAGACATTTGGTCTATGAAGCACATTTTAATATCACCTTCTTCAGAGGTAACACAAAAACTCTTTCTCAATGAGCTTGCACTCCAAGAACAGAAACACACATAAAATACTTCCTTGTATTTAAAATATAAATTTTAAACTACTATTTTCCAAGCAATTTCCTTTCAAGAAAAGGAAAGATGGAAAGAAATAGTACCAACCCAAATACACAGATCATTTATAAGACACACTTTAGTTTTAGAAATATCAGTATTTAAAATATCAAATGTACCTTGTATGGAAGACACTTAGGCATTTTAATAGCATAAGAATAATCACAGATACTATACATGAGGGGGCCAAAAAACAGAATTTACTTATAAGAAAATGGGCATTAATTCTTACATGTTTAAACTTCAGTCACCTTCAAAGTACTCTCCATTTGATGCAATACACTTATTGAGATTTTTTTTTCCACTACACGAAACAGTTTTTGAACTTGTCAATTTTGATACCTTTTAGTGCTTCTGCTGTTTTTTGTTTCACCTCTTCCACGCTGGCAAAACATTTCCCTTTGAGGACTTGTTTCATCCAGGGACATCAAAAACAAAAAAAAGTCACTCGGGCCATATTGGGTGAATAGGGAGGATGGGACATGGGAGTCACGCCATTTCAAAAACTGCCGATACACTCAGTGTGGTGTGGGTGGGTGTGCTTGTAAATCACCTGACATGAAATGGGCAAACGTTTTGAAACAGTCTTCAAAAAAACCTTCACACCAGCTGGTACACTGATACAGATGGGTTCCTAGAACACTCACCTAGTGGGGAAGCCTGTACTACAAGGGGCCCGCCCTCCAGAAGATAATTTCAGGTTTTTTGGGTTCCCCCTCATAGATATTCTTGAATGGCATAATGGTTATATACAATGGTTATTATAGTACAAAAATAGAGTGATTAACTCTATCTTGGTGAGAAGCCGAGGTAGGAAAAATTGGATACTAAGTAGATTTAAAGACTGGATACAAACTTCCACTAAGCAAAGGACGCAGTGGGGTGGTATTTCAAGGAACAGCAACGGCATAAAGCACCAAGATACAAAATTAGATTTAATGTTTAGGTGACTGCAAGCACAGTAGTTTTATGTAGCTCACACATATGAGGAAGGGAAAGGGAAGTCAGCCAGGGTATGCATTGCTAGGGAGCTTAAAAATTATCCTATAGACCAGGAATTAGCAAACATTTTCTGCAATGGGTCAGACAGTAAATATTTTAACCACAGACCACTGTCACAACTACTCAACTCTGCCATTGTACTGCAGAGTAACCTATGCTGCACATAAATGAACAGAAGTAGCGGTATTCCGATGAAGTTTATTTACAAAAGTCGGGGGTGGCCCATGAGTCGCACTTTGCCACTTCCACTGGGTCTAAAACCTACAAATGTACATATTTGTTTAAGTGTAAATGTATTTATTCATTTTATAAATATATGTATGCCTTTTATGTTTTATTTTATATATATATGACATGTGTGCACATTTATCATATATATTTCCATAGTGTATATCTATTTATATATAGATATGTTTCATAATATACATGTTAGTATATATACATATATAATAACATTAATATGAATATATACTATATAAAACATGGAGATAATATATATGGATACATATATAAATACCTATGCATATATGTATATTTCATGAAGTATAATATATATTTGGTATAGAGACATATATAACATTTTCTATATTTTATAATATAAATACATATGAAATATTTGCATGGCTATATGTAAATATATAGGTATATACACATACCTACACATATAAAGAAACATTCACAAAGTTAAAATACTTAATACACGAGGTATAAAATATAAATAATGTTACAAACCCCCTCCTTCCACACCCACAGTATTTTTTCTCTTATGCACCACTTTCAAGAACACTCCCTACACACAGTAGTGGGTAGTAAAGGATGGCAGTTAAGAGCTCAAGTTTGAGGAGAAAACCATTTGGGTCTGCTACTTCCCACAAATGACCTTAGGCAAGGCACTCAATCTGTTCCTCAGACTCTTTAAAAAAAAACATTAAAACAGAAATAAAAATAGTACTTTTCTCACAGAGCAGTTGTAAGAACTAAGGGAGACCATGTAAAATGAGTAGCATAATGCCTTGTATGTAGTTAGAACTCAGTGAGTTATAATGAGAGCTTTTAATCAAGTAAACCGAATGGCTTGTGTCTTAGAAGGGCCCCGGTGGCTACAGTGGAAGTAGAATAGACAAGTTAAGAGGGTAATTTATTTGACAGGAAGCATGCCTAAACTGGGGTAATAAAAAAGAGGATAAGGAAAATTCAAGAGATTTCAAGATCCATAAATAGACAGGGCATCAGTACAAATTATATGGAGGAAAGAAGAAATAATTTTGAATTTTCTTTGTATTTTAGGCTTGGATATCTGGATAAAAATAATATCATCAACTGAGATAGAAAATAGAAACAGGTTCCGAGGAAAGAATGAATTCAGATTTAATCTGTGGACGGAACAAGTGTGAAACGGCATATAGACACGTCCAATGAGCAACTCCATACAATGGAGAAAAGACAGTTTTTCAACAAACGGTGCTGGAACAACTGGATATCCACGTGCTAAAAGATGAATTCAGACTTAGACCTTACACCTCCCACAAAAATTAGCTTAAACTGGATCACAGACCTAAATGTAAAACACAGGATTATAAAATGCTTAGAAGATAGAAAAAAAATTTGGGTGACCTTCAGTTTGCAAATAACTTTTTAGATGCAATACCAAAGTCACAATCTATAAAAAATAATTGACAATTGTACTTAAACAACAATAAAACAATTAAAAATAAATAAATGAAATAAGATAAAGCCTGCCAAACAAAAATAACTGAAAAGCTGGACTTCATTAAAAGTACAATTTTCAGCTCTGCAAAAGATGTCAACAGGATGAAAAGACAAGCCACAGACTGTGAGAAATTATTTACAAAGACATACCTGAGAAAAGATTGCTATCCAAAACATATAAAAGATTCTTAAAACTCAACAATAAGAAAATAAACAATGCAAAAAAAAATGGGGCAAAGACCTAAACAGATACCTCACCAAAGAAGATACACAGATGGCAAATAAGTATGATAAAAGGTGCTGCACATCATCTGTTATCAGGGAAATGCAAATTAACCAACAATGAGATGCCACTACAAACCTATTAGAATGACTATATCCAGAAAACTGAGAATAGCAAATGCTGACAAAGACATGGAACAACAAGAACTCCCGTTGCTGATAGGAATGAAAAATGGTACAGCCACTTTGATAGACAGTTTGGAAGATTCTTACAAAACTAAACATATTCCTACCATACAATTCATTAATCACACTCTTTGGGATTTACTCAAAGAAAATGACAAACACATGCACACAAAAATCTGCACATAGATGTTTGCTTTACTCATAGTAAAGTGCGTACAGATGCACTAAAGTGCATAAAAACCTGCACATAGATGTTTACTTTGGCAATTCATAACTGCCAAAACTTGGAAGCAACCAAGATGCTTTCAGTAGGTAAACAGATAAACTGGTACATTCTGACAATGTTTAAAAAAGAGAGAGAGAAACACACAGAGAGAGCTACCAGTCATGAAAATACGTAAAGGAAACTTAAAGGTATATTATAAAGCGAAAGAAGCCAAGATTATATACCATAGGATTCCAACTACATGAGATTCTGAAAAGGCAAAACTATGGAGATAGTAGAAAGATCAGTGGTTGACAGGAATTAAGAGAGATAAATATACAAATAAGTGGAATACAAAGAATTTTCAGGGTACTGGAACTATTCCTTGATACTGTAATAGTAAATAGATGTCATTATATATTTCTCCAATCCCATAGAATGCACAAGACCAAGAGTGAACCCTAATGCCAACTATGGACTTGGGAGATATGATGCATCTGTGTAGATACATCAGTTATAACAAACATCTCTCTCTTCAGGAGATGTTGATAATGGGGGAGGCCAGCACAAGGGAGTGAGGGTATATGGAAATCCCTGTACGTTCTGCTCCGCATTGCTATAAATACAAAACTAAAAAATAAAGTGTGTTGTTGAAAAATGGGTGCTACATTATTTACTTGTTGGAAACCCTTGTAGTAAATCAAGAAATAGATAAGATGAAAAAAACACAACATAAGGAATGCGATTCTGAAAATGGAAGTATTTAACAAAGATCAAAATCCCTACATATTTGCAAATCAGAGTGGTACCTCTCCTAAACCTCCAGTCATCTCCTTGTTCATCCTGGTGGTTTGACTGCTGCTGGGAAATCTGAGATACTTGGTGTTGTAAACCCTTTCGATCACCTTCTGCTTTCATAAGTTGTGTACGGAGTTCTTCTACCTAAATACAGATAGTCAAAATCAAATTTCTGTTAAGTTTTAAAAGTTAACAAAAAGAATAACTGAACTCTCAAATTATTACAAATTATTATCCTAGGGAAAATATTTCCTTCTACTGGGCCACTGCAAGCACAAGTTGAAGCCAAGTTAATCTCCTTGACATGCCAAACACAGTGGAATAATCTCTGGCTCCATTTCTTTATTCCTCCCATTCCTTCCACAAAGAATGAACGTCCTTCCCCCTTCTCTGTGTCTACTGTGACAAAGAAGTTGATCACATTTAAAAAATCCTTTATTTTGACCTCAATTCACTCCACTACTATTAACCAAAATCACCTCTAATTAAGTACTACATGTTTTCATATTTTTCACTTAGTTTCTTTCATGTGAACATGGCCTACTGATTGGTAAACTGAAGAAAAATGATCATGAGTTAGCATATGTTGAAGTCAAAGTACTGTTCCACATAAACAAGCAATATATACTACTGAATAAACTATAAACTTCTTGAAGTCAAGAACTATTTTATTCATCTCTGTATTTCTAGAGACTAGGAAATTGCCTAGCACATACTAGGTATATCCCCAAAGACCATTAAAACAGTTAGCAATGGCAAAAAGACTCAGCTAAGTCACAATGACACCCCAAACACAGAAATCTCTTACTTCAAAAGATGACATGGTATTTAAAGTACAACTCAGAGTGCCAAAAAAATCAGAATGAAATTAAATACAAATATAAACTACCAAAAAAGAAAGTCTGAACTCTGCCAACATTAATTCCAATGGACCACTGGCCGCAGAACAAAGCCAAGGAATATTTTCAAAGGTTTTGTAAAACAGGTGATGTAGTGTATTTTCAGAATGAATTGTCAAAATGTAATACTCCTTCTAAACATCTATAGGATTTCTGACATTTTTGCCTACATAACACATATTATGTAGTGAGTTATGCAACCCACATCTCAAAGCAGAGGAAGGCACAAATGCACTTCATATCAAACACAGGCAGAGGGGCAGGTAGAAAGCCACAATCCCCTATCCAAGGCACGTAAGACGGCTATTTCAAGTTACAGAACTTTAAACAACAGGAGCACCAAACTCCCACTGTGGGCCAATGGGCTGCAAAATATTATGCTTTAAGAAAGCCTTAGCTTTGGTTAAAAAGGGACAGCCAGCATCTTGAAAATAGGAATAGAAGACAATGATGCATTCCAAATAACTTGAATGAGCAAAAGTCTGTTGTAATTTATTGTACTTCCTCCTTCTCTCTCCAGTGCTTCCTGGAAGAAAATTAAGCCCCTGGGGAAATTTTATCTTACACACCCAGTCTCACTTTCACACTGGTTATGCTAAGAGAGATAAGTCCTAAACTAGAACAGCACCAGCAAGATACATGGTCACATGGAAACTGGGGCTGGTGTTTTCACTAGCTTTCTGTAAATCTTCCCGAAAGGATTTCATCTTTTACTTCTGTATGCTGATATACATTCGTCATGGAAAAAATTATTCTAGACCTAGGTTTTTCCTTTCACAAATACATTTAATAGAGAAGAAGACTCAGGCCTGACTTAATTTAAAAGCAGCTTATAAGAGCTTGCGTAGACTTACTTGATGCAGAAGTGTTTCTCTGGTGCCTTCAGACTGATTCAGTAACCTCCGAGACAGCTCCAACTCCTGGACAAGCTGGAGTTTCAACAAAGGATGAAGAAAAATGAGACATAAGTTAAACAAACTGTATGAGCAGAGTTGAAGAGGAGAAAAGTTGAAAAGTTTTCAGAAGATAATATAAAAGGATAAATATCTTGCTATACACACATATTAATGCTTCCACCGAAATAGTGTTGACTGCATAACACAAAGTGAACCAGACCAGACTTCCCGAGGGCTGGGTTCTAGTCCATTTCATCTCAGCTCTGACCTTGTTTAAATCTCTTTTCCTTAGGCCCCCTTTCTGTTACCTCTAATATAAGGATTTTTATACTAAACAACCTCTGAGATTCCTTACAGTTCTAGGTCAGTTTAATCTGAATTCTAAAGCAATTTTTGTCTTTAAATTAGTACCTGCAGTATCATATAAACTGAATTAGAATAAAAACTTCAAAGACCCAATGACTCAAAGTATATTTCATCCAATTGATGAATTCACATATTCTTATATTCCTAATATTTCCAATACCCATGATATTCCTAAAATTTTTAAATACTGAAATGCAGAATAAGACACTTAACATTTCTTGAATAATACTCCTATTACATAAATAGCCACAAAAATGTGCCCATTAGGTGACTAAATGCCCTGCAAAGACTGAATGTGCTTAGGTTACTTTCAGTTGAATAATATAATAGGATGGAAGGGGAACAGAATGCCACCCCAAAATGTGCCTTTTTGGCACAAGGAGTATCCTGAGCTGATGACACTCAAGACCCAACAGACTCAGGGTAATTTTTATCTTCCCCTTAACTGTGAGAAAGAACTTAGAAAGTGGGTCTGTACCAGAGTGAGGGCTGTTTTATTACCAGAGATAACTTTCTTTCTGGAAGAGTTAACTGCATAGCAGGGCAAACACTTTTTCACCAAACACTTGTTCTTCTGATGTTCCTACTATCCACAGGTTGGTCCTTTAACAGCTGCCCAGGTGGGAGGAACTACTACCAAGGAGCAGCATGTGGGAGCACTGCGCCGACCGACCGGGGCGGCGTCCTGACTGTGGGGCAGCAGCGTGAATCTGCGCCCGAGGTAACACCGTGCAGAACTACACACACTCAACACACAGATGAGTAAAGCTGTGGGAGAACGGTGGGTTGTGCCAATGTCAACTTCCTGACTTTAGTATTAAATGACAATTGTGCAAAGTGTTACCGTGGAGGGAACCAGTGAGAGGCACATGTGACCTATCTGCAGGTTTTGTTTTACAACTACCTATGAATCTATTTCAAAATATTTTTTGTTATATGTTTTTTTTTAAATTATACATGTGGCTCATAAAATAAATGTCATACTTTTTAAAAAGTAAAATATGTGTGAAATCATAGAAGGTACACAAAATATTTTCCCTCCTGTACTCTTGTTTCGATGGAGAAATAAAGACAGAAGGACTCACTCTTCAGTCAAAAAGATTTCAAAATCTACCAAGGCCCATTTCCACCACGATCCCCACGGAATACCAGCTGTCTTAATTCCCAATGGGCTGGCCTGACGACCTGACATGCCCTGTTTACAGTCAAGGAAGCACGGATGCATCATTTAGCTTGCCACTGGTTGGCAAAGTAAAATAAAGGAAGTCAGTTTAGATATAAAAAAGCATTTATGAAGTAAGGAACATTACATCAGGGGAAAATTTTCACTGTACCATACATTGCCTTGTGCTCATCCATAAATCTACTCATTTGCAAACTGAGAATGGTTTGTGGACTCTGAATTCCTTTCTAATTCTAACATGCTAGGCTCGCGGGGTCACCGACATGAATATACAAGGTCTGTCCTGAAAGAATCCAGCCAATATAACAAGAACCGTTTGCGTGACATGGATGTAACCTGGAAGCCAAGGAAAGTAGACTGCAATGCACATGCGTAAACAATGCTGACTTCACAGCACTGGTCAATGGGGGTGGTAGACTCTGTGGAGTGAGCATGTGCACTGTGTGGCTGTCACATTATTTACTATTAATAATAGTAAGATGGCTGAGTGAGCAGAGCAACAAATTTGCATCAAATTTTGCATTAAGCTTGAACATTCCTCCACAGAAACTATTCAGATGATTCAGAAGGCTGCAGCTATGGGCAACTGGTGATTGGCAGCTTCATCACTACAAGGGGCCCACTCATGCATCACATCTAGTGCAGAGTTTTTTGGCAAAACAGCAAATCACCCAGGTAACTCAGCCTCTCTACGGTTCAGATTTGGCACCCTGAAACTTCTGGCTTTTCCAAAACTAAAATCACCTTTGAAAGGGAAAAGATTTCAGACCATCGATGAGATTCAGGAAAATATGACAGAGCAGCTGATGGCAACTGGGAGAACAGTGTGAGGTGCCAAGGTGCCTACTTTGAAGGGGACTAAGATCCTATGTACAATGTTCCTTGTATCTTGTATATTCTTCAATAAATGTCTCTATTTTTCATATTACATGGCTAGATACCTTCTGCACAGACCTCATATATCAGAAGTCCTTAATATTTAATGATAACAGAGGGTTTTTCCTCTAGGCTGCTCACTATGACTATCTTCTATCACGAAAATGAATATATCCAAAATGCCCAGCCTTTAAATAACAGGCCTTTCCTAAGCCCGCAGCAAAGGCAAGCCCTCCAGGTGCTCCCCTGTAAGGAACAGCAAAGGCTCACCCACCCCTACAAAAGGAGAGTGGCCAGATGAAAAGGTAGCAAAACACCTGAACGTGTTTCCAAGAGCAAGCAGCAAAACAGCAGAGGCTTCCAACCCAGAGACTCCACATCGACACATAAAGGCTGTGCTCTAACGAATGGCCTCAAAGCACTCAACAAACACCACTGGCCCCAAACAGCATACTCTGTGAAAAATAACTTTCAAATCTTACTTGACTCTTCTCAGTTTCAGTTTGTCTTAGCTTATTTTTCACTACTCCCTCATCTTCATGTGCTTTAGCTTCTTGTTTCTTCAATGCCTAAAATGAAAGAGATGGGGAAATATGTATTATACCAAAATACATTTAAAACTGAAAGACACCACTCGGGCCTACTAAGAAAAGGCTCAAGAAGATGAACGGGAGTTGTACAAAATATAGAAAGGAATTACAACCTGCCCAGTTACTGAAACCCAAAGAACACCTCAGCTGGAATCAAATGGAAGCAACTTGCTGATCTTCCTAATCAATTTCCACTTTGTTTCACCTTTTTTCCTATCTTTGGGAATTCTGAAACATAATTAGAAAGTGCAGACAGCTAACAGTTTTCTTGGAAACAAACAAAACTTACTGCCTGTTGAAATAATAGTATTTAAAAGTTATGTTATCTGCTCGACTATTTAGATGTAATACTAAAGACTAGCTCACTAGTTTTCAAAAAAAAATAGAAACATGCTTGTTGCATCATTATTACATATATGACATATTATCACAACATATAACAGGCTCTTCAAAACATATTTCACACAGAGGGGAATATTCTTTTCTACATTTCTCTCTCATTAATAAAGTGGAAAGAAAACTTTTAAAAATACAAAGTTCAAAAGTTAACCACAAAGCGTTTGCTTGAGTTTGTTTCTATGTTAAAATTAAACTTAAGGAAAAAATGTATAGCTGGAGCATCTTTCACGAGATCTAAAAGACATTCCATTTGTTGAAAAAAATTTTTGACAGTCCTAGCACTTAGAAGGTGTGTGTGGAGAAGCCATCCACGTTGAGAAAAACCAAATTGCTAGAAGTCTTTTCCAACAGGATGTATGGTATTCAATCAACGGAAATGCGATTTTTACATAAACAACAGAACACATTAAAAACTTCTGATGTAAGTATAATCAATCATATTCAATTTCATTAACTTATCCAACAAATAACTTCTATGTGCATTTATAATGTGCCAGGCACTGTGCTAGTGGCTACTACTATACTTGTATATAAAATAACCATGGCCCCCTATCCATGAATTTACAGCTCCCTCTGCCATGGCTCCTACTCCCACTAACAAAAAGCGATTGAGGACAAAGACATCATCAGCATGAAAAAAATTCTGATTTGAATATAGTAATATAATAAAACTTTTGCAGTGTTTACCATATCCAGGCATTCTGCTTCTCCTTCAATACATTAAAGAAATACATTATATATATATTGAATACAACATTTAATCTTTGTGCTAATTCTGTAAGTTATTACTAAGCCTATTTCATTACGGAGGCAATTGGGGTACCAGTACTGGAATAAGATCTCGTCCTAACTAGGTCACTCACCTAGTCAGTGACCGAGACAGGACACAGACTGGGGCCGTCTGCCTCTCCATGGGGAAATCATATCAGGCTCACAGGATGGAGAGGAAGACAAAATAATCTGTACTTGTACAACATTTAAAAAGTACAATAAAAGACGACATAAGGATTACTGACTTGTTAACACTGATAAAGTATTACAATCGTAATACATTCAGGTACAATCATAATACTTTCAAGAAGTGATTTTGATGTTTGCTTTTTGTGCTTTATTATAGGGTAAAATTTGTAATAATATTTAATTCTATATGCATAATCTATTCAATTTTGGCTTGGTGGAAAATTCTGCAGTGAAGAAATTTTTCCATTTTACTAACTGGAATGTATCCATTTCTTCCCTCTTTTATGATTTCCAAAGCTCACATTTTTAAAATCCTATAACACTTTACGTAAAAAAAAATAGGATGTTATATTAACATTTCCCAAGTGTTTGCATACTTTATTTTGACTAAATGCATTAAAAGTGTTTAACTCCTTTATACGCTTAATTTTACTTACTTTGATAGACACTTGAAATAATCCTGGCTCACCCAGAGGCCTCCATTGCCAAAGAGCAACACAAAAGCTTTGGAGTCACTATGGTAAGAGCTTCAGAAGGCCAAAACCTCGACTGTTGTGATCACATTTTACTCCTTACATACACACTACCGGGCACATTTTAAGTGGTAAGGATACGTTATTGAATGGATAAATATTCCTTTATAATCTCTGAATAACAATTTACTGTGCAATTGGCCAATTCTGTTCATCACATACATGAAAGTTTTCCAGATTCCTTCCATCTTTATTATTGCCATATTTGCTCAAGCACCAAAGTTGTCTTTCTTTCTGGAAAAACAATTATCATGGTGTAGTGACATTGGAAAATAAATATTTATTTAGGGGTTTAAGTCAAAGAGTTAATAACCTTTCACTACTTACAAGTCATCATTTTAGTATTTCCTTAGAAATCTTGTGAATGGGTTTATTTTAATTTGCTTACTTTTGAAATAATTCAGGTTAACAGTACAGTTGTAAAAAGAGCTTCAACTTACCATATATCCTTCATCTACTCTTTCCAAAAATTAACATCTTATATGACCATGGTATGTGTATGAAAACTAAGACATTACGTTGTTACAGAATCATTGATCTACACTTTTTACTCAACTATCAAATGTTCTTTTTGTACCCAAATGCAATTCGGGGTACTACGGAGCAGGCTCCAGTCTGTGAAAGTTTCTCAGTCTTTCTTGTTTTTATGATCTCAGCATTTTTGAAGAGCTACTTCAGGTACCTCCAGGCCAGGTATTTGACAGAATGCCCCTCAGTTTGGGTTCGTCTGACGTCTGTTCACAACAAGACGGGGTTCATAGATTTGGAAGTGGGGGACACAGCAGAGGTCAGTGCCCTTCTCCATGCATCACACTGCAGGGCACACGACATCAGCATGACTCAGGACCGGGGATGACAACCTTGCTCGCTTCATGAAGGGAAGTGGGTGTCTGCAAATTTCTTTACCATGAAGTTCTTATTCTCTCCTTTTCATACACAACTGGTTAAAAGACAGTCAATAAGCCCAGCCCATACTCAAAGGAAAAAATGAAGCTCCACCTCCCAGAGAGAGATTTTCAAAGAATGTGTGGCAATATGTTAAAAACACTGAAGTAACTAACAAATATTTTACTAGATTATTTTCAGGCTACGCAAGTATCATTAAAGTTTCACTCACCATTTTTAGCTCTAAGCCAGACCAACTATAACACTATTAGTTCTTTCTGGCCCACAACTTTTTTCCCCCATCAAACCTTACAGTCTAATGTAACCCAGATTCCTAGCAAGTTAACTAACATGCCAGTACTCACCAGTAAGCAGAATATTGAACCTCTTTGTATTCACCCCAAGATAAACTGCTTACACCAAAAGCATTGAGTGATCTAGGATTTACATAAGAATATATAGGTGTACACACTCATGAAATTTCCATCAAACATTGGGTGCTTTATAAATTCACCTGGGCAACTCCACCAACCAGGAATTACCCTTCTTCCCTGTTCGCCTCAGCCCAGCCTCGTTAGATGATTTTTTTGCAGCTTCTGGACCTTCCCCACATGCTTCTAAATCTCCCTGTCCAAGTGATGTACAGCAATCTGCCCCTTCCAGTTCTCAATTTTGAATATTTACACTCATGACTATGCCCAACACTCCCACTTGCTCCACCCTGTACAGAAAGAACCTGGCAGTTACCGAGTTCCATTCCCCTTAAAGGGTAATATGGGAAATAATTATCTCATTTTCATACTAATAGATATTTAATCTTCATTTCTTATAAGTACAAATATTAATAATTCAAATTAAGAGAATAAAAATCGATAAGTTGAATTTTAATTAATCAAATTGTCTTTTCTATTTCTAGTACATGAAATTATACCCTATAAAAACATGATCCTTCTAAAAGTCAGAAATTTTTTTAAAAATCCAAATTTCCATATATGAGCTTGCTGAATAAGAGAACCTCTAATTCTCTTGGATACCTAGGAATTTGCAATAAAATTTCCTTTTCTCCTCACTATCCACCTTCAACATCTGACCAGTTATTTATAATAACACTTACCCAAAATAATATATATTTCTATTATAGTTTTACTTGGTGCCTAAAATGTTGTTTAATATCCTTCACTTTTATTTCTCCTTTTACTCTGAGGATATGTAACTCTTAGAAAATTCAGTCGATGAGAACTTAAATTATATCAGTTTCAGTGGAGGACCAAAAGTGATATATTGAGGATCAACCCAAAGCAAATGACTGCATTTCCACCATGTCATCTAGAAATGTCATTGAGCTTGAACATGATTTCTGCTTCTTCTACACCATGAGTCAGTAAACAAGTAAACACACAAGCAATATTCTCGCCCAGAATATTGAACCTACTTTCTACATTATCTAGTTTAAAATGAAAGATGAAAGAAAATCTAACTCTTAAGAATTAGTAAATATATATTAATACTCCTTAAACTTCTGAAAGCCCAGATAATATTCAATGAAAAACATTTTAAAAGCTAATTGAATCAAAATTAGAAACCATTTCTTTAAAACTTAATAGTAAACTTTAGCTCATTTACAACCTTTTTAAAATGTATAAGCCTGCAACAGATTTCTTTTCCATTTGACTTAGATCAAGCAACTCAGAATTATATTAAAACTGACCCAGTAAAAGCCATCACAAAAAAGGAAAACACACATGCCAGTGGATTTCTATTACAGTTATTTTGCCCTTTAAGGGTTTTTTTTTTCCATAAAAGCAGTTTAACTATAAAGTTATCATGTGCCCTACTCTAGGATTCAGACTGTCTTTTACATGCGTAAGATCACAGCAACAACACTGAGCCTTAACAGAGGGTCCCTAGGGCACAGTTAAATCTTTCTTTTTTTTAAGATTGTATTTATTTATCTTTAGAGGGGAAGGGAAGAAGAGAGGGAGAGAAACATTAATGTATGGTTGCCTCTCATGTGTCCCTTGCTGGGAACTGGCCTGCAACCCAGGCATGTGCCCTGACTGGGAATCAAACTATGATCCTTTGGTTTGCAGGCCCACACTCAATCCACTGAGCTATATCAGCCAGCACTACATCTTTTTTTTTTAAGGGCACAGTTAAATCCTTTTTAAAAAAGATTTACTTATTTACTTACTTGTTTATGTA